GCAAGGTCTACCTTTTAGAAAGCGATGGTGTGATGTGCAATGTGGCGCTTTCATGTGTGGCAATGCCATGGGGAGATGTGGTTGCAGTTGAGCTCTGATCTGGGTGTTTGTCCTGTGTCATGTCTAGAGCCGAAGTGCGTCGATTGCGATGTTGCATCATGGAAATTTTGGATGTGCTGTGGCAAAGTAATCTGGTGGATTGGAGTGTGTTGAAGTGTGATGTGGTCATTGAGTGTGGTGATTTGTGGTGAGATCGTAGCATTGAACTGCTTGCCGTTGATATAGAACTGTCTCCTGATTCACTGATCTATTTGTGAGCCCACCCCTGCCCAAGCCGCTTTCATTTTGTGGACAGCTTGGAGAACAAAGGATGAATGCTGAGAGAACGAACCGCACAAGAGAACGATAACCAACACACGAGCTGCGCAATCCACCGAGTCATGTGTTTCCCCTCCAACCTTCTTTCGACAACTGTGTAGACAATGATTAGAGGCCTGTTGGCCTGCTCACAAAAAACACCAAGCATAAGGCTAGTGAGCTTGATCTCTCACCAATGGTAGTGCCCCACCATGCTTCTTCCATGGATCGGTTGAAAGGGTTCCTGCATTAATAAAAGATGGTCATTGCAGTTGATTATGTTGATTGAGGTTGCAGACTTTGGTGAGAAGCGTGGAGAAGAGTAGGTACGAAGGCAGAGCTTCGCAGACAACTTGATCTTCAAGATTCGGCCATTTATGTCAATTTCTGAATTTATTTAATAGATGTTGCCCTTATGAAGCACTCCTTCCACTGAAGACACATGCACTGCCAGTAAGTGATGCTGGTGTAGCCTCTGAGTACCTCCTTCATTGTTGATTCACTTGTTGTTTTGTCCGCATTTCGGCACCCAAATGCTATGATTTTGCAGCCTTTTGGCTCCGGCACGCTTCCGCGCGGCCGATTTTTTCGATTAGACAAGCTTGTCATAATTTTAAGACATGCCTGCCATGTCCAAGATCTCCACTGCTGCCGGCGCAGGCGCTGCCTTGATGGCGGCCTCTGCCTTCGTAGCACCTGCAGGCGCACCCAGACAAGCTCTGAGGGGCACCTCCAGTGTGGAGCAGAGGTCCACAGGAACCCCGGGCGCGGTTGGGGCTGTGGGCGTCGCTGGCCTCGTAGCCATGTCTGTGGCCCGGCCCAGCACCAGAGCTGCAGTGGTGCGTTGTGCCTACGATGCCTCCAACGAGATCGGGGCCTGTGACCCACTTCTGTTCTGGGATCCGATTGGCTACTGTGGCGGCGACTGCACCAAAGAGGATTTCGACCGCCGACGGGCTGTAGAGTTGAAGCATGGCAGGATTTGCATGTTCGCGACCATCGGCATGCTTTGGCCTGATGCTGGGACAGGATCATAACCTTTTCATTGTCGTTTGTTTTAGTTCCCTCATTTAAGAAATGGATCAAGATTGCCAAGGGCTTTTGGTAGTGTTTGGTAACTATGCATGCCCCTCAAACTGCAAATCCCAAGTCCGGTCATTCCCACATCACCCAATCGAAGGACATCTTCGGCAAGTTTGATGGTTACCTGTCACCTTCTCAGAACTTAAAGTTCGCAGATGTGCCCTCAGGCCTTGCAGCCATCAGCAAGGTCCCCCTGGAGGGGTGGCTGCAGGTGCTCCTGGTGGCTGGGCTCATCGAGACTCAACTCTTTAAGGATCAGTCCTTTGGTGGCTTTGCCTATGCCAAGTATGGTGAGCCTGGCAACTTCGGCACCGGCTACTGGGGTCGAAAGATCCAGGACCCGGCGGAGCGCCGTTTGAAGCTCACCACAGAGCTGAACAATGGACGCTTGGCGATGGTCGCCATGACAGCGATGCTTATCCAGAACGGTCTCACTGGACAGTCACCTGTGGAGCAGCTGACCTCTGGGCACATCTCGCCCTTCAATGATGGCCAGGGCTTCTTTGCACAGTTCGACGCGTCCAAGGAGCTGGGAGCTTGCCCTCCTTTGGGCTATTGGGATCCCTTCGGCATGATGGCTTTCCAGGATGAGGAGAAGTTCCGCCGCAACCGTGAGCTGGAGCTCAAGCACGGCCGGATTTGTATGGTCGCCACCATTGGCATGATCGTGCCGGACCTTTTTGGTCGCTTCGGAGGTTACTTGTCCCCTTCCATGGATTTGAAATTTTCAGACATCCCCTGCACCATCGAGGCCATCTACAAGGTGCCAGCCGCCGGCTGGCTCCAAGTCTTTGCCTTGGCAGGTGCGATTGAGGCAAAGAACTTGGCCTTCCCCACCAACTACGGCTACCCGCCTTTCTGGGGACAAATCGACAAACTGGAGCCAGAGGAGAAGCAAAAGAAGTTGTTGGCTGAGATCAACAACGGGCGTTTGGCCATGGTAGCGATGGCAGCCATTGTGGCTCAGAATGGCGCCACTGGGCAGTCCTTGGTGGAGCAGTTTACTTGCGGCAACTTGAACCCTTTCATCGGTGGCTATGCCCAGAAGGAGCGTGCTGAGAAGTTGGCCATGCGCGCCCAAACGGATTTCTTTTTCAGCGGCAAAGCGGGCAACAACTCGGAGGCGATCCCATGGGAGCCCATTCCTCAGGGTCTCTCCAACGACCTCTTTGGCACCTACGTGGGCGATGTGGGCTTTGACCCGGCGGGCTTCGCCAAGAATACACGCTTGCTTCCTTGGTATCGTGAGGCCGAACTGGCCCATGGTCGTGTGTGCATGCTTGCAACTCTGGGCTACACTGTTCAGACCTCAGGTGCCAAGTTCGAGCCCTTCATCACTCGCTATCCCACGGACTCTTCAGATCCGCTGAAGGCAGCCACTCAGGTGCCGATTGTTGGCTGGCTGCAGATCCTGGTTGTGATTGCCCTTTCGGAGTTGTGGCGTTATGAGAACGTCATCAGCAAATACGATGAAGGTGTGGCACCTGGCGACTTGGGCTGGAATCCCACCGCGCCAACCGGCACGAAGCGCCCCAAGTGGTTTGGCCCAACCTTCTCGGCCAACTACACGCCTGAAGAATGGGGCAACATGCGCTTGAGGGAGATCAAGCATTGCCGACTGGCCATGGTGGGCTTTTTTCTTCATGGTGTTGACCAATGCATCCACAGGCCAGGGGCCTTC